CATTAATGCAAATATGCTTTTAAAAAGAAACCATTACCTAAGTTCTCTGTGCAACATAATGATCATGTTTTAAAACATTCTTTTACTTCATTATACAGCATTGCAAACTCAGAATGTAGCTTCCTCTAACCTCACATTCTTTTATTGTTCTTCCATCTTTCTGTCTTTCAACTTTTCTTTCACAAATATTTACTAAGGGCCTAATAGACATCAAGCACCAATTCAGCTATTCATATGAGTATAAATTTCAGAAAAACAATTACAGCCAATGGAATAACTCCTATCAGGTGCATTTCTGAAGCACTTGAAAGTGATGGTCACTGCCTGGTATGTCTTTGTGCAAAAAGTTTGCCTCTGCCACCTCATTTTAACACACTGAGTGCTGAAAATTAATCTTGTGTCCCCCACCAAATACTCTGACACTCAGTGGATGTTTCCTTGTTAAGTAAGCTATCCTTATGGTAGCATATATGTCACTTCCTCTAGAGCAGTGGTTCTCAAACTTCCTAATGCTGCAACCCTTTAATACAGTTCCTCATGTTGTGTGACCCCCAACCATAAAATAATCTTCATTGCTGCTTCATAACTGTAATTTTGCTACTGTTATGAGCCACATTGTAAATTTCTATGTTTTATGATGGTCTTAGGTAACTCCTGTAAAAAGGTCCTTTGACCCCCAAAGGAGTCATGACCCACAGGTTGAGAACCACTGCTTTAAAGAGTAACCTGAAAGTGGTTCTAGAAGTAGCACTCGCTTATACTGAGGACTGAAAAGAAGTGGAGAGCTGGCTTAGTGCTTAGGGGCACTGGCTGCTCTTCCAGAGGACCAGGTTCAGGTCTCAGCTCCCACATATTGGTTAACAACCATCTATAACTCCAGTTCCAAAAGATCCAATGCCTTCTCTAATCACCCAACAATGCACATACATACCTGTAGGTGAACACTCATATGCGTAAAACAGAAATAAATCGTTTTTTTGTTTTTTTTTTAAAGATTTATTTATTTATTATGTATACAGAAGAAGGTGCCATATCTCATTACAGATGGTTGTGAGCCACCATGTGGGTGCTGGGAATTGAACTCAGGACCTCTGGAAGAGCAGTCAGTGCTCTTAACCTCTGAGCCATCTCTCCAGCCTGAAATAAATCATTTTAAAAATAGAAATATGCATAAAGAACAAACCTTAAACACACTGCTTCTCCACCTCCAAGTAACAAGTCAATGCATTTCTTTCTGGTATTTTCCTCTACAAATCTGACAAATAACTATTAACTCATTTGTATTTGCTTATAATTTTGCAATGTACTTTATTCAGCTCCATGAAGACTGTGTTGTTAAATAGACTTTAGTATTAGTATAATGGCTGCCTAACACTTTATCACAGGATTTATAAATTAAGTATTGCATGATTATTGAACAGTTAGTTGTTTATAATGGTTTGCAATTATGAGTGAGTGACCAGCACAGACAGTATACTGGTTGCATAAATCTTTGTTACTGACTATTTTGCTACAAAACATATTTTGAGAAGTAGACACAAACAGAGAAAAGTTCTTGAAGATTTATGAAGATCTATCATGGTATAAATTTTGAAGAATAAAGTATTTTTCCAGTTGAAGCATTAGAAAATATTGAATAATTATTAGCTATAGTTGTAAAACACACTAAATATCATCCTTAGTACTCAGAAGGGAAAATCACTTGCTTTAACAGATACTCATTTCCCCATATGACCTTGAGCTTGAAGTAGGCAGCTGTGAACAAATGTCACTTGAAGACACAAATAAGTAGAATGTTAACAGACAATAGAATGAGTGGTTTTTACTATAGAAGAGATAAAGAAGTAAATTTTGACCACCATTTCTTATATAAAGACATCACCAAAACTTTTCAAATGCTTTTAAAGCATTTGAGAATTCCCTACCCCAGAGTTCTCTATAAACAAACCCACAAGAATGAACTATTTTGAAGCCTGTTCCTATTAGCCATCATTGTCCTCATATTTAGTTGATTTAAAGATACATGCATCATGTTCTGTCAGGAATGGAGCAGATGACAGTCAGAGCCAAGTCTTCCTGAGATTTTCTCACACACATGCCTGCAGAAGCTGGAGGTCTTTGAAGGCTCTCTCCATGTGTCTAGCACCTGGACGGTGTCACATGGAAGAGCTGGGAACAAGTTGAATGTTTCTTTCTCTTCAAAAGAAAATGGCTTTGGAATTCCTGACAGAATGGTAATCTTGGTATAATTTGACTTCATAACTGCCCACCAGCTTAAACCCTAACCAGCACTGAAGAAGGGTGGAAGAATATCAAAAGCTTCTAATGACCTCATCCCAAAAGTCAAACAGTGTTAGACATTTTTACTGTTAGAGGTAGAGTCCCATGGCCATGGGACAGCTCAGGTTCAAAGAGGGAAAGGTGTAGATTCTGCTTTTCAATGAATGATTGATGCCAATCACACTATGCATGGATTTCACCGCTGTTCAGCCGGCACCTGTCTTTACTGCATACTTCACCTGCACTTTCCTTTAGACACACTTTCTCTTTGCTTCCTTCATTGGAAACTATTTTCCATATTAATGGTTAAAGAAAGAACTGTGTGTCCCTTGCTACGTTCCAAAATCAGATTTTGCCACCAGATGCATATTTAAATCTCAGCTGGACTATCCATTAGTACAGTGACTGTGACAAGTAATTTCCTTTCCTTGGAATGGATGCTCAGATTCCCAATGCCTAGAACAAAACCAAACATACAGACTGAATAGTTATCAACTGAATCTTTAAAGTTCCTGCATCACCTCTGTGAAATAGTAAACTAATAATTAATGTCTAGGAAACATATAGTGTGTCACCTTAATGTATTATAAGGTAGTGAGAGTATGGCAGCTATTGGAATCATTGTGGTAATTGCATAGCAATCAAATGCTTGACATAATTATATATATATATATATATATATATATATATATATATATATATATATTCTTACTGATGCTTCCCTGTGCTCCTGTTGCTACAGTCTAACATCTTCCTAGATGCATTCTTCAACATCTGCGTCTCTTTTCTTTTCCTTACCATGTCCTTAGCTACCTTAATGATGTCAACATAGATATTGCTGGTGCATTAACTCTTACACAGATCTGGGATTATCCACACTAATAATTATATTCTTCACTTTAACCCTGCACACCAATTTTCTACTCAAAATGATCTCACCTTCACAAAAATATACCACAAATTCTGCCAATTGTCCTTCACAACACAAATCTCACTCTGAGACTTCTTCAATAGTTCAGTTTCCCATCCAGTTTCCCAACTCCTCCATTTTGTTCTAAGTCATTAGCACCTTCCTGACTTTACCTGAACCCCACAGTCACCACATTCTCTGCATCTTTGGTGATGAGCAGTAACACAGATCCAAAGTTCTTACCTTGAATCTGTCCTTCTGACTTCTTTCCTGTGCCTGCTCCTGGCTGTTTAAAGCATGCTTATTTTTTCAATTTCTCCTTCACAATGACACAATCCAACTAAACCTGGGGGGAAAAAAACGTTGTGTTATCTGTATCCTCTCTCGAATCCTTCCATCACATGTCTACTTGAAATCTTCCCTGATGTCCTCCTGCCCCTGAGCTCAATTTCACACACTCCTACCTTCTCTTTGGAGGAATTAGATTCTTCCATGAAGAAAACAATGATTGCCTTCTAGAAGGAGCTCTTGTGCCTTCTCCTCTTGTTATTTCAAAGTCATTCTGTGTTTCATTATTTCACTGTTTTTCTATCACTTCACTTAGAGGAAAAATTGCCACTTCTCAAGGCTTTCCTCTGCCTCCTTTGTTCAAAATCCCAACTCTATCACCATCATGATAGAATGGTCTCTAACTTTCAATCCTCAGCTCCTGGTGACCTGCTCAGTGAAAAAAAAAATGCTCATCTTCTATCTCCTAAAAATGCTATTTGCTTGTCAAGGCTTTAATATAATCTAGCTCACTGTTCCATTCTTTAGTTCTTAGATATCGTGATAATCAAATCCAGGAAGTAATTTGCTATATACATATCAATTCATAGATTAGTAACTTAAAATGTCTCCAGGCATATAGTCTTCATGCAATGTAGAATCAGTTCTATAACTTGCACAGTCTACATTATAGAACATGAGCATGACAACATGAAAACTGGTGTTTCCTTTAGTCACTGAAATTTAAAAAGGTTTACATTTTAAAGCCCTTAAAATTGATGTTTAGGCATAATTAACTAATGGGACATTTCTCCTCAAATCATATCCTAGGTATTTCTTGAAAACAAAAGCTACATGGAGGTAGAGCAGTTGTCTCTCTTCTATACCATCCCTTAAAGATAAAGAGAATTCTTTTCCTGTGATTCACTACCACTCTACTGCATCAGCCATTCTAAAACAACCTAATAACTGTAAATTTCCACAGGTTATTCTTCACTCTTGGTGGATATCCTTACCTTCCCCACAGTACTGATATTTCAGAATGCTCTGCATCCTCTTGGCCAGAATCTGAGTTGCTCAGTATAGCACATTTTATGGCTTGCACACTGTAAGGTTTCTGAGCTGGAACATTAGCTCCATCCACCTATAGCTCTTTAGTATAAACGGTGTTGTGTCTATTCCTGCAGTATTGCCTGCCTGTTACTGCCTCTGCCTGTTAGCTGTGATTGATTTTAACAGCCACAGTTCCTATTGACATTCATATCCTTGTGTCTGCTTCTGATTATTTTTCTTTTTCCTATAAAATATAATGCTAATTGAAAGTTGCCTCCAGGCACAAAGTGTCTGAAAAAAATACATAATTAAGTTTCCCACAGAAATTCTGGAAAATAACTTGTATCCCATAACTTTTTGCTGTCGATTTTCATTACTAAGTATGTATTTCATTAAGATGATCACATCATTTGATGAGATCCACATTGGAAATACAATGTGGCTGATTATAATGATCTATACTTAGCTGTAACCACTGCCTTCCCTGTAGGTCCCCCAGGCCCACCTGGGGTGGTCATCGTGGAGGAGATCACAGAAAGCACAGCCACTCTCTCATGGAGTCCAGCAACTGACAACCACAGCCCTATCTCCTCCTATAACCTGCAGGCTCGCAGCCCTTTCTCCCTGGGCTGGCAGACAGTGAAGACAGGTAAGAGGTCCTTGGACAGTGTCACACATGAAAGTAGCATCTTGGGGCACCAGGTGCACTTGCTTTAAAGCTTACTCAAGATCATTTGTCAACTGCAGAAATGCATTATTCTTTACAACATTGGTCTCCACTGTGGATTCTTTCCCTGTGCCTTATAAAAGCAATCTCCCTTACTTTCTTCTGTTCATAATTTGCAAAGAGAAGCCACATTGTGTTTCTGTTTGTATGATGAACTAACTTTCAGATTCACAAAGAAGTTGTAAAAATTGCACTATACAAAAAGCCCCCATGGAGCCATTCCCCAGCTCCCCTCAATTATCACACTATCTATGACTCAACAACAGTTATCAAAGCAGAGATGTGGCATTGAGCAATGCTCTCAGGTAGGCTTCAGGCCTCCCTGAGAGTGTATCAGTTTGATAAACAGTTGTTCTCAGGGTGCAGCTCTCGGGAATTGCTGGCATTCTATTGTGTAGACACCTGTCCCCACAGGAGGATTGGGATAGAAAGCTGCCCCCAGTCTCAGAAACTCCTATTGTGTCTTTATAATCCCATGTCAGTTTTATTTATAAAATGAAAATCTAACATGAACTGTGTACCTAAAAACAGTGCATCATTTTAATGTCTGCTTTTAACATATTTTCCAATTTAGTTTCATTATTTTAAAAATTATTTTCATCACTAGTAATTTCCATTGAGTATTATAAAACTAACTTTCTTCTAACTTTCCAGTGTCCCTGGAAGTGGTGACCAGGATATAAAAAGTTGCACTCCTCAAGGGTTTTTAGATACTCTATTTAGCATCATATTCAAACCAGAAGAGAGAATTTTCTGAAGCGATTGTCCACACAGACTGAAGATGGGTGTTTCTGTTGTATTTTAAAGTTAATCTGTTTAAAAGTAAACTATAAAAATCAAGCTGGACATGATGCAAGGTCACAGCACTTGAGAAGTGGAGGCAAGAGGACTGCTATATATTTTAACCCATCTTTAGCTGCATAAGAAGCTCAAGGCCAAATGGGCTACATATCAAAACCCTATCTCAAACAACAGCAAATAAGTAATGTGAAAATCATCAAGATGGGTTCATTAAAAATAAAACAAATATGGAATACTATAGCTTTGAAGTGGTCTATTGTGTCCAGGTAAATGACACTTTGGCTCAAACTTAGCTTCACTCAGATTATAATTATGTAGAGGAAAATGTATTTCCCTACAGAATATATTTCAGATCTTATTTGATACTAAGTTGCTGATAAACTGAACTTATACTTCACTATGGTTATTGTGACAGTATGCTGTATGTATACAAATATTTATCATATGTATTTAAAGCACTGGCCTCCTTCCTGGGTCCACTATAACCTTGTGGGACAATTGTTGCTCCTCAGTAATGAGAGGAATGATCTGGGTTGGTAGACATAGGAAGGGCACAAATTCAAATCACATGAGCAAATTGATTCAAGAATTTGCATTCCCTCTTCCCAGTTCTTCATCTTCAATGTGACTGCTCAAAGACTTTGCTGTGAAAAAGAATTGTTGTATAACTGGTGTATTCTCACATACCCCATCCTCCTGCCACCGCTTGTCACACAGACTGTTCAACTTACTTCTGGGAGAGATGCTTAGGAGTCCATGCATATTTTCTGATCCACTTGATGATTTACTAATCCATTTTGTCTTGCACCTACTCCAGTCATGAGTCCATGTTCCTTATTTACCTTGCTCTCTGGTTGTTGCCTACCCTTTTGCTATTACTGTTTTCTTGATGCGTCTGTTTCTCCAGGAGTTGGGGAGGTTAGGAGGGAAAGTTAGGCTGTGTTTGCTGATAAAGCTCTACTAGAAGCTCTGTCTTTATCTTTCTAAAATAATTTGAATACTGGAGACAATTTCAAGTTAGACAATTTCAAGTTCTATTTAAATTTTCTTCAGGAAGTACTCAATTTAAATACTCTGATTATGGTTTATTTATTTATTATTTTTATTATTGATTTGTTTGTTTGTTTGTTTAGTTTTGGTTTTTTGAGACAAGGTTTCTCTGTGTAGTTTTGGTGCCTGTCCTGGATCTCACTCTATAGACCAGGCTGGCCTCGAACTCACAGAGGTCCACCTGGCTCTGCTTCCCGAGTGCTAGGATTAAAGGCATGCACACCACCACTGACCAACGATTATGGTTTATTTATAAAGAAATACATTTTCAGAATTATAGCAATATCAGTATTCTTTTTTATCTACCCTTCTTAGAGTAAAGGATTTAGCAAACTGATTCCTCATCCATCTGACTTCTTTGTCTAAAGCAGTATCTGTTGCAATAGTGGGAAAGGCAAGGCTTCCCTAGGGAAAGTCCATGGAGGAGTCCTCAAGTCCCTGGTGAATCAAACAAGCTTGGCTTTAGCCCTGTCCCCAATCTAACCATAACTTTAATGCCTACGTTGGAAAAAAAAGTCCCTATGGGTGCAGCACCTCGACTAGTCAGATTTTTTCATAATTGCTCTTATAGTCCAAAATAATTCAAGTCAAAATGACTTCTAATCCTGACATACATATTTAGGAAAAAGATGAGTACACAGTTTATAACTTTTGATAAGCAACTTATAAGCTATTTGGAAATAATTTAACATTCTTTTATGTGCCAAAATGAAAACAAATTCCTTACTTTCTCTGTTAGTTGAAGCAAAAATTTGAGCATGGGGCTTCTAACTAAACATATCTTAGAACTTACTTACAAATTCATATCGTGCAATTGATTTATAAATTCTCCTTTCTGCAGGGAAGGTTCAAAGTTAAATAATAATAATGTGTATAATTGGAAGAAAGTATGAAACAATCTTTGGAAAAAATTCATCTTTATATCCTGTTTTCATTCAAGTATATTTATTGTGCCTTAAAAATACATTGTTCTTTATGCTAATGAAAATTCTTAGGTGACCTGTTTATTTTTTCCTGAGTTTACTTAAGATTATCAAATCACCTATAACCATTACTGATCTTTCTTTATATATTTCCAGGATGTTTCTTAAACATTCATCATCGGTTTCCATTGTCTGTCTATGGATATGATTTTCATGAAGTGATTGGTTGATTAATTTTTTCAATTTGACAAGCTTGTCAAGTATTTTATTAAGTTCTTGGATGTGATACTTTTGCTAGAAAATGCATTCCAGTGGGATTCTCCACCTATTCAACACGCACTTCTTGACTGTCTTGAATCATTGCTATTGTTTTCTCTGAGAAGCATGTATTTTCCTTGAAAGCAACTTATGCCCATGGCTCCAGCAACAGTATCTTTATAAAAAGGTGCCAGCAAAGCTATTAAATATTCTTAACTGGTAAAAAACATCCATTATCCCTAATCTTTTCAATATTGAAAATCAAAATCCTGTCTTAATGAAGACAGCTTTGTTTGTAATTTATTTTATTTGCTTATGAATATTAATACCTCCAACTAATGTTTTTGAAAGTATTATATACCCCTTATAAGAAGCAATAAATTTAGAGTTACCTAATCAATTTTGTTATAAATTGGAAATTTATTGATTTATAAATTGGAAATTATGCTTAAAATAGAGAAACGTAAGGCTGGTTAGATGGCACAGTGGATAAGAGCACTTTTTGTGTAAACTTGGGGATCTGAGTTCAAATGCTCAGCTCCCATATAAAAGGCTGAGCATGGCCTCACACACCTTGTAACCCCAGCATTGAGGAATGGAGACAGGTGGAAGCTGATTGCTTGATGCACCCCCCAAAAATGGTGAGATTCCAATTCATTTAAACACCTCATCTCAAAGCAGTAAGGTATCACCTGATATTTTGCTCTTGTTGCTACATGTGTATGGTACATGCACAGGCACACCTTCATGCACCCCCTGCACATCACACACACAAACACACACACACACACACACACACACACACACACACACACACACACACACACAACTTGGAGCACACAAATTCTAAGAAAATAAATATAAACTGAAGAAGAATATCAAAACCCAACTATGGAATAACTCCAGTTGTAAAAATGCATGGCACAGATGTGCGCAAAAGAGGCACAGAGGGAGTGATCTCTGAAGTAAAAATAAAGTCAAATACAGTGAGCTCCTGGAGAACAGAGAGGGTATCAAGGAAGGGAGGGCATTCGAGTGCACTTGTGTTGCTCATGTGTCCATGAGGATTGACACTGATCATTGGTTTTAAGCATAGTGAGGTCAGTGCCACCTTGACAATTGCAGTTTCAGTGGAGCTGGTATGGTCTGACAAGTGGTCAAGAGAGAATGGGACATGGTTTTGTACAGACAATTCCTCAGAAGTTTCATGTTTTGATAGAATCAAAGCATAGTACAAAAATGACTCCAAGAAGAGATCAGAGCTTGCAGCTGTTCCTCACATGCTGTCATTTCTAGTTAAAAGATATAGTCGTTTTGTTTGTTTGTTTTGTTTTTTGTTTTTTGTTTTTTTCGAGACAGGGTTTCTCTGTGTAGCTTTGCGCCTTTCCTGGAACTCACTTGGTAGCCCAGGCTGACCTCGAACTCACAGAGATCTGCCTGGCTCTGCTTCCCGAGTGCTGGGATTAAAGGTGTGCGCCACCACCGCCCGGCAAAAGATATATTCTTAATTTGTTGCTGTGGACAGGAAGTAAAATATGTTTGTGAGAACGGAAGAAGACTTTTCAAATTGCTCTAGAAACTGAAGAAAAACACTATTTCTAGTGTGACTTAGCCTCTTCTCTAGGGCTGAGGATGGGAAATGATTTTTAGTGTAGATAATAGTAAGTTCTTTGATAGCCAGACAAGAAGAATTTCAATATGTACATTATGTACATATTGTACATATGTACATTACATATACACATATATATACACATATGCATTATACATCATACATATACATAAACATATACAGTGCTTACTTCTTGAAAGTTCATTTTACCATAGCAGTTATTCTAGCGGCACGTAATTATGTACTATGAGGAAGCAGGATCATGGTCATGTATTATGATCACATAGAATGAAAAAGTAGGGATTAGTAATGGTGACATCATTGGCCAACATACAGTTGTAGCATTTCTCTAGCTTCTTAATGGTATGAAATATGCTTCTTCTCTGTAGTCCCAGAAGTCATCACAGGAGACATGGAGTCAGCGATGGCTGTGGACCTAAATCCCTGGGTAGAATATGAATTCCGAGTGGTGGCCACCAATCCAATAGGGACAGGGGATCCAAGCATTCCATCTCGAATGATCCGTACAAACGAGGCAGGTAAGAATCATGGCATGAAACTCCTGCTTGTATGCCTCTCATCACTTCGAAAGCAAGTTGAATTAATAATGATTGCTCCATGACTGACTTGCCTGATGCATTTTCTTAGTATCCTGAGTTTCTTTCCTGTTTTTGTCACTGCTTCCAGAAACAAAGGTTTATGAAATCTTCGTTTTCTCCCATCCTTGAACTTAAGTTCTCGTGAAGTGGAGGCGATTAATCTATTCTTCTAAGAAAACCCATTAAATTCAGAATAGATCAGCTCACCTTCTTATTCCCCAGTCTACTTCCTGAGGCTCCTCCCTGCTGTCCTTCACCACCTCACCTGGATAAATTACACTGTGAAGATGCAGACAGGCAGACAGAGTGGAAGTCTGCATGCATGAGCTACCCATCTGCTACATAGCTTAGCAAAACAAAGAGTTCTTCCCAGTCTTCCAGAATAAGTTTGTCTAATTGAGAAAATATCCAAATGACCATATGAAAGAAACTAATTGCTTTTATTCAAAATCAAATCAAGATATCTTGCTATCACCCAGAAGGAACCAAAACAAGAAACAGTGAAGACTAAGTCTGGAAGGTAGATCTTTTTGTGCAAATTCTTAATAAGATCTAACTTTTTGTTGTTGTTATTGTTCTGGAGAATGGGACAGATTCTCACATAACCCAAACTGGCCTTGAATTTCCTTTGTAGCCAAGAATTACCTTAAATTCTTGTTCTTATTGATTTTCCTTGCCAAGTGTCAGGTTCTAAGATCTATTATTTCCCCGTAAAATTCTGTGTTAACTTTATAAAGACGTAGACAATTTCAGAAATGCTGTTTAAAGAAATGGTAATTATATTTCTCCTCATGTGATCTTTTCACATTGTATACACATAGCAAATTATCACATATATGTCTAACAGAATACATAAGTAAGCCATATATTAAGAAAAAAACCCAATGATACTCTTAAAGGAAAACAAACATCAAACATTTGATAATGGCAGTAGGAAAGTGATAGAGAAATAGGGGCCGAGCAGGTTTCAGATGTGAGGAAAGATAAGCAGATTTTAATATTTTATCCTCAGTCATTGGGTAGGAGTCTCAACAAGAAGAACACTGAAAATGAAGATGTCTGCTTCCTTCATAGTTCTGTATTTGAAATGTGAAATGATGTCAGATGCTAGCATTCAACATATTTCGTTGTTATTCTGTGTTTGTGTTTTGTGTTTCTTTGACACAGGGTCTTTCTAGGTAGCTCAGGCTGGCCTGGAACTTGCAGACAGCACGTCCTGCCCTAAAATCCATAAATCTGCTGCCTCAGCCTCCCAGGTGCTGCAGGCATGCCCCACCACAGCTGGATATTGCCATATTTCACAAGGAACATTTTAAAAGAAAGAAGGAAAGGAAGGAAGGAGGGAAGGAGAGAAGACATGGTCATACCATAGGTGCTGAGCATTTTTTCCATAGAAGTAAAGCAATTTAGAAAATGAAAATACTTTAAATATGCTGGGAAAGCTACCCACAGAAAACTCAACTTTTCTGCTTTGTAACTTGCTCCTTCGATTTTTTCTTTTCTGCTTCTTTTAAATTTGGTGAATTTCAAATTGAACACTAATTGCTTGGTTGGCTAATCATACATCCATAAAAATCAGCCATGTTTTCATTGTGTCCAGGCGTTCATTAACTAAAACCATAACAGGTTAGTCATTCTTCATTTTATGTGCTCACTATGCAGATACTGAAATGATGGCCAATAGTAATAAATGCATGTATTTTCTAGAAACACTGCCTTATTTTATATACTGCTAATTGTGTTTAATCAAAGACAAAGATTATTGTATAATTTGGAGGCTGTCTAAAAGTACATGTTTTAAACATAAACAACCCATTCAGGAGGAGTAATCCTTCTAAACTTTTTAAGTATGAATCTACTTCTGCTATTAAAATTTTTTTAGCAAACCACCATTGCATTTTAAGCCAAACCATGTTCAGATAATGCATTTCAAAGATTTCATCTAGCTTTATAGCTGCCTCAGTCATGAATGGCTATGTCTACATTTATCCTGACCAACTGTATACATGACATACTTTATTCCATTAAAGTCTTACAGAAGAGGAAAGAGGTGATATGAAAGTACATGAAGAGCTTGCCTCTTACAGTGAGTTGGGAAAGGTGAGCGTTGCCCACTTTATACTGCTTCTACTGGAATGTCAAACTCAGCTTGAGCTCCTAATGGCATAGAACCAAGTGTGGAGCTTTGTAGCTGTTTCCTCAGGCAGCACAGATTAAAAGCGACACCAATATCCTGAGCCAGCAGTCCCCAGTGACACACTCGGCCTCCGTTAAGTAGCTACTTTATATTCCAAGATGAAATTGTTCTAATGGACCAACGAAACTTTGAAAAAGGACAGCTACTTTGGAGGAAAAAAATGTCTCAACATTAGGATGTCGAGATTATGAGAGAGTATGCCTCTGTAAATTCCTCTTAATAAAAAAAAAATTCTAAATTTCTAAAAAATAAAAACTCAAGTGAAACATTTCTATGTTAAAAGTGTTCCTTTCTCACATACCAAAAAGAAATTATTTGCAATTTTCTTATAGGACATATTTTGATATTTCTGTTCATCAAAACATTTCCATGAATATGATATAAACAGTAGGATACGGTAGACTGGCACCAGAGAGCATTGTTAAAGCATGCTGTGTACTTGTATCAAGGGTCCTTATAAAACTCAGTACTTTGTACAATGAATATACACCAAAAAAAAACCCTTTTTACCCAAAATACATAAATGGGTTCAGTCCAACTTCTTGGCATAAGGAGGTCAAACCAGCAGAGTAAATGTCTATTTTTACTTTGGTGCACATTTATATTTATGGAGCAATTTCAATTTTCTTACAAGTTTTAATTAGATTATCCAGAGAGGGAGAAAGATATAAATAGATAACATGTTTAATTAATGAAATGTGCTGCTCTCTTCAAACTAACGTGTAAATTTGGAATACAACTGTGTGAATGTTTTGTTATTTTAAAGATGTTGCAAGAGAGAGATGACTATAGATTAAGAAATACATTTGAAAATATGAGATGGTTAAAACAGAAAAACAAAATGAATGCAACAGTGGCAGCTGTTTCTTTTCTTAAACCTCAACATTCTGCAAGTAACATATTAGAAACCTCTGATGAGTCAATAAAAAGAGCAGGGCTGTGTAACTTGTCATTCAGAAGTTTTTGCATTCTTTGTCTAGTAACAGCCATTATTTCTAAAATTTTTCATGTAGAGCTCAGTGTGTGTGTGTGTGTGCACATATACACATGTGCACATATGTGTGAAGTTTATCAAGTTACATGAGTTTAGACTTGAATTAATGTTCTGTTATGTCATTTGCTAGCTTCCTGAACACAGGCAAGGCTGCCTAAGGCTTTCTTACTCTTATTTGTCAAATTAGGAAAGTATCATGCTCTAGTCTTCTTTCTGTTTCTGTGGCAAACACTATGACAAAAAAAGAAACGGGAGGGGTGGGGAGGCAGAAGGGTTTCTTTGGCTTCCCCCTCCAGGTCACACTCTATCATTGAGGAAAGTCTAGAGCGAGACTTGAAGAAAAAAACAAGGAAGGAATGCTGCTTGCCAGCTTGCTCATAGGCTCACTCACATTCTGATGCTAAGCTAACTTTCTTATACAATCTGGGGCCAGAATCAATGGATGGCACCATCCAGAGTGGGCTGGACCCTCCTACAATGAATAATCAAGACAATCCCCCCAAAGATGCCCATCGGCCAATTTGATCCAGGCAATGTTTCAAATGAGTCTCTTCTGTCAATAGTTGCAGAGTGTGTCGAGTTGACAATCAGTGCTAATGATGACATGTTATAACCTATTTCTCTTGATCCTCATATTGCATAAGACAATGCATACAAATATTAACATCTATGTTGTTATCACAATCATCATTAACTGGGTTATTATATTACAAATGGGAAAATTCTCTTTTTATATTGACGATATGTTTTCAGCTAAATGTATATGATCTAAATATCTCCCTTTCAAGCCGGCTTGTGACCCTCACACACACTCATTATATTCTTCTTTTTACCTAGTATTCAGTCTGTAAGGGGAGTTTGATATTTTCACACAAAGTAACATTTTTCTTTTGGTTCTTATAGCAAAAAGAAGGCTAAAGAAGCAGAGAAAAGCAAGTATTGAATGAAAACCATGTATAAAATTGCATATTCCAGAAATAGCTCTGTAGCTGCCTAACACATTGAATTCTGTCCACTGTTATTTTTGACTCTGAAATGGAAAATGTGACACAAACATTTCTGGCCACACAAGAAAAAATATTATCTCTACATTTAGGAAATCAATGCTCTTACAGCTAGATGTATCAAGCGGACATGCAGATGAAAGCCTACACTGGACTAGCTCATTCATCTGTGCACGGAACAGAGCAGACTACTTGTAGAATTCAAACACAAAACAGCCTCATTCTCCTCCCATGACTTGTTCTTAATGCTCTTTGTCTGCTTGCTTCCTCCAAACCTCCTTATTTCATTCCCACCACAGGCAGCTCCCTACAAATCTTACTCACATTCCAGACTTTCTGTTTTCCCTTATGTCCCACAGAATTTAACCAAGGCTGTCTGTGTGACCATACATTTATAACTGTTAGAGCCTGGTGGGCCCACCAGGAGGTCCACTACCTCATGCTACCAGAATGCATCAGAATACGTGGATGAAATGGTCAAAATGTACTAATGAAACATACATGTACACTCATGTGCACACATGCACACACTGCTGATCCATAGCCTCAGTCCCAACTATTTCCTCATCACTATTGGATTCTAGGGAAGTCTCATTTTTAGATAAAGTCTATTTCATTTAAACAAAAACTTTAATTTCACATGCATCCCATTTTCTGCCCTTCCATCCTAGCTCAGGTTCGACCTCAGGGAGTTGTTACCTGTCTCTTTCCTCTTCTTTCTGCTTCCTTTCTCACCTGAAACTGC